TTGGAAATTAGCAGTTTAATAAAAAGCGGCACGACAGACACAGATTGACAGACAGACAAACAAACAGACGGAGGTGAACCTACTTTGTCGTACTCTGGGGGTCATGAAACGTCGAGAAAACATGAAAGTTGCCATTTATTGGATGGACCCTATTACAATACTTCCTTAACGTAAAAATTGGTCTAAAGACTGGTTCTTGTAATCCGATACATGTTAGTGCGAAAATAATTATAAATAAGTAAAATTCTTACCTATAATATACTTAGCTACTTAGTATGATATAAACTGTTTTTTTGAAGACAAACTTCGTAAGATATAGGAAAGTATTAATAAACCGTAGGTAAAAGTGCTTATTACTTTAAACATTTTAAATGGAATTTACTTAGCAAAATTTTAGGATGATCAAGTTTTTGGGGGGGTAGACACACTTATTTTCTAGTAAGTATAAATGATAAATTTTTCTAACAGATAGACAGACAAAAATGGGATATTTATGTTAAAAAAATGCACACAATAAAACACATGGTCATGTTTTAAACATTTGTGCAATTTCGTGCGCATTTTGCCATCAAAATAGTATAGAATATTTTTCTTGCAATATTTTTAACAAGAAGATTTGGTAGTAGGTACATTTGGAATTAATTTGGTGATATGTAAAACGGCCCTTAGCTTAGGCTTAGGAAGTAAAAATAGTTTAAACAAATAAAATTTTAACCAGATTTAAGATTTCTGAATATTAACCAAGTTTCGCTCCAAAAAATTCGGCAGTACCTATTTCTTTCATCTAAAGGTTGCTAAGTTTACGTTGTTTTTCTTGTACGATATATTTGGGAAACGCCTCAGGTTTTTTTTAAGTCTGGAAACACAGTAACAGGTTTAGCATATCTACCCACATAAGGAAAGCTAATGATCTCTACTTGCATTTTTAAATATCGAAGTTTATTACATAGGACGTCATACAAAATGTGAAACTTAAAGTTAGTTCTATTACAAAATGTTTAAAAATGAATTTCCTGCTGTTTAGTTTTGCACGCCAGGATAGGAGTATGTTATTTTACAAAATTTAACTAGCATTTACCATGCAAAATTTTGGGGTGATGTCATCAAATTCTTGGTGAGGATGATCAGGTAAATTTTGGTGGGCGTGTTGTTGTTTACACGATATGCCTAAAACACCTACTATATGATTTGACAACAATCAGTCCCGTAGTTTCGGAGATTATTTTTATCTAAGAAAAATCGACACAAACGACAGACGACAGACAGACGGAAACGAGAAACCTATTTTTTTCATAATCTAAGAGTCATGACGTCGAGAAAACTTGAAAGTAGTCTTTCGCTAGATGGACGTCAAAACTTCCTTTGCTTACACTGGAAATGTAAAAATTTACTTAGTTACAAAAACAAAACTACAATTCTACCAAGCTCCAGGTTTTTGTTAATATTTTTATTTTATTAACATCAGTTAATGTTTTATTTATTTTAAATTTATATGCTTCACTAGACATGAGGAAATTATATCATCTGAAATAGATGTTTGTTCATAATTTTCTTCCAAGAGAAAAAATTAAGTTATTAAGTGCGGCTTTGGAAGCAGAATACAGAAAAATTAAAACAATAATATTTTTAGAACATTTTAAAAATGTAATTAGGTCATCATTTTGAGTTGCTTTTTACAAAACTAAAGATTTATTTTTTTTGAAGCGCTATTAAATCTATTTTTGGAATCCGTAATTACATTGTTATAGGAATAACTGTTTCGTAAAAGTTTAAAAGTTTTTTAATTGTAGGTATGTGTTCATAAAAACCAAGGATAAGATGCGCCACATAAAAACTATAATAAGCTGAACAAAATAAATTGGTGTGTTGTTTTAAAACATTATATTTTATAAGATTTTCAGTGTCGTTACAGTCAGACAAAAACTAAATTTTGGGTGACCCACTTTAATTAGAATGACATAACCGGATTTTTGTCTACAATAAAAGTCATTGTATTATGGATTTCTAGAAGATATTTTATATCTCTTTCGCTTCAGAAAATAAAAAGTATCAACTGTGAAAAGGAAAGATGTATAAGAGCCCACCCAGAGAAAAAATGTTCCTCCACAAATTTGTTGAAAAGTGCAGCATTCATTGTTAATAACATTTTAAAAACTTAATGCAATTGAAATCTTAAATCAAGTACTTAAGGCTCTGAAGGCGATACTTAAAATAAATGAATACAGTTCTTAGAACCAAATGACTCACTTTTAATGAATTCGTAGTTAGTAATAACTACAAGTTTTCAGGCTGAATGCTAGCAGTTGTTAAATTTTGGTAACACATTATTTCTAGAGAATTCAGGGCATTCTTCTCCCTCCACACACGTCAAGAATTTTCCCGCAGGCTATATCCTGTAGGAAAGCGGAATTTCAATACATAATCGAGATATTGAGCGAGATTGGACCACTTCGTAGATCACACGAAACCCGCTCCACGTGGCGAATTCTTATCAAATGATGTGTGAAAGAATTTGGAGTGCATTGTGAATGAAATGAAAATTCCTTCCACTCCGGAAACGGCCACTACACAAAAACCCAAACCGATTTTTAATTCTTCTAAGCAAGGCCACAAAATTTGCCTAAGTGCTGCATTTTAAAGGGGTAGAAGCTTCCGAGAAGTCCTCACCTAACGGTTGATTTTATTTGAGGCGAGGGTATAAAACGTAGTGAAATGAAAAGTGAACTATTTATGGCCACAGCGAATGACCACTTCCTAGGTCTTACATAACTCTTTATTCACTTTGTGCAATTTCGACCTAAAAGCTTTGGAGCTGCCACGTTGATTTATGCTCTTTTTCGAGGCCGAAATTTTGACTGGTTTGCGGCTACTCTAAATAAAATAATATTTATGTGGTTGCAGGGTGGGCGACCCACTTTTAAGATTAAAGCCTGCTTCTTACTAATTTTGTTTAAATTGCGGCCAGCTGAATTCGCATGTGCGCGAAATACCGCTGATATGATGACAGAACGGAATTCTTGAATCCGAAGCTTGTTTGCTCTGTTAATTAAAATTCTTGCGAAGCGATAGATATTTTAATTAGGGGTTTTAGATCTAGTTGTGAAACGATCATTTCATTAGGAGGTTTTTAAATATCTAGTTGGCAAGGTTGATCTTGACTCGATTTTGCTCTTGAAATTCAGCCAAAGCCGGAATATAAACAACAGATTTCAAATCAAGTGTGTGTTTTTGTAATTATGGAAAGTTATGGATATTTGTGTGCTTGTTTAGTGGACACTCATTGTCCATATTTTCATGGTGAGGAAAACAGAACGTGCAAATTGGTACTGAATCACAATTTCGCATTTTTATAGAAGGCAAATCGAAGTTAATGTTGGAGCAAATTAGAGTTGGACGGAGTCGGGTGATTAATCTTTTTCATTTTTGTTGAATGTGGGCCAAAGCTTTTTAATTAAATTGCTTAAAAAATAAATAAATACTATGGTTATTTTGAAACGTCATCCATAATATATATTAACTTGACATTTAAAGGAAATGATCTATTTTAAAATTGTAATAATAAATAATATTTGGATTGCTTAATGAGTGACCAGTTTTAAAAAATCTCGATTTTTTTCAGTCGTTCTACTTGTTTTTGAGTAACGAAATGTCGTTTGACTTGCTATTCTAGACATTCATTTTTAATGAGTTTTTTGCTTTGTTGTAGGAACGATTTTATAAAATTACAATTTGTTTAATTAACCCACCATTATATCTCACGATCTTGTGAATGCGGGAAATCCCTGAAAATTTAAAAACATGTTTATGTTAGCGTAGTCTTTCATCGATTATTTGTAACTACATATTTAGGTACGTTAAAATTAAAACTATGACGATTTTCCAGTTCGATGAATTAATGCTAACTTAGATTAAATTCGCCTTTCGTTGACAACGGTTTCTAAATTTTTAATTTAATTAGGTATAAGTAGGTAAATCTAAATTGGAAACAATATTTTTCTATATTTTAACAACAAATAAAGTAGTTTCGCTTCACGTATACTTTTTGTCAAATAAGATTTATTTTTTGCATCTCCCCGTTGAAATAAAAGACCTTACGTTTTATTAACTTTAATTATTCGAATCATGGGAATGTAGGTAAGTGCAAATTGCATTTACATAATAAATAACTACAAATGCAAACTTGATGTCATCTGATCTCCATAACATCAGTAATTGTAGTTGTTTTAATAAAATTTCTTCTTAATGAACTCGTCTACGTTCCAAATTGGGCAATAAAGTTTTAATAAAATTAAAATGCAAATGTGCACTTGAACAAAAAAATTATAATATTTGCATAGACGTTTACTTGCAATGCCTACGCTAGGATGATATTTAATTTAATGAATTTTTAAACTGAACCGAGTCGCAATATTCTCAAGATTGCTAGACAAATCCTCACGGAAAATTTATAGCTAAAATATTAACAAGTGTTGCAAATAGTTTCGCAACAATACTGCGACTGCGACTTTACAGTTATTACACGAACATTACTCCACACGAGCATTCAATTTTTTACATTTCATTCAAGTTTAAAATTATTGTTAACAAAACGAGTCTTTTTCGCGAGATCTGCTTACATAAATTTCTGATTCGTATAATTTACTCGGAGATGAGAAGATGGTATCTTAAATAATGCAAAGGTTTTCTCAACCAGCCAGATATGTTTAGAATGAAAATTTGGTAGTTACTCTAGGTCAGGAATTTAGTATTCATCGAAGTAGAACGCTTCCTACAGCGGTATTTTTGTCGAGATTTATGGCAATGCATGCATAAAAAATTTGCTTTGCACTTGGGAGTAAAAATAAAAAGTCTACATTATTTAAATCCAGCTGCTAGGGTGCATGTGCTGTTGAGTATTCTAGATCTGAATCGTGATTCTACGTCTGGCGGTACTTACAAAAAGACCGTTTTTTTACCGCGTAAAAAATTATTATTAATATAAGTTTATAATTGATTTTCAGGTGGGACTCGGATTTCAGCAGTTCCATCTCCCTAATCGCGCATAAGTGGTGAGTAGACTTTTAAATAATTAACTTGCAATAAAATAACTTTACGACATAGCAAAACAAACACGACACGAGCATATAAAACACACTTCATTCATACTGGTAGCAGAGTTGTAAAGTTGTAAAGCAATATCAAACCCATCCAAAATTAGTAGAATGTCCCACATTTACAAATTACACTATAACGACCATAAAAACGCAATAAACGCGGCGAATAAAACGTTTGAGGCAGGTCAGGGCTCGGGTCGTAAAACACTGTGTTATAGTCAGAAGTCGTACGTCGTAAAACCACCGCACCCAGTATTTTATAGACATCGGCCTAACAATCGCTAGTTACCGCATTTCCTTCCGGCATACGCACTTTGAGACGGAGGACCTTGAACTTGACGACCTCGTCAGGAAGAAGTCCACATAAATAAATACCTACACTTGTACAGGACATTCGGGTATTATGGAACACCATTTTTCGTCACCAACACGATGAAATCTGATGAGAAATTAAAAAAAGTCAAGATATTGCAGATTTAAAAATACATTGTGAAAGCCTCATCCTAAGGGATAGGGGATTAATAATTAATTGTGCTAAAGGCAAGTTCAGAAGATGTTGCAGAACTTTCACTCAATCTTAAATAGTCTTTCAGTTTTTTTTTTTTTATTTCATTGCCCTAAATAAATAGCTTCTGCTATATCGTGTGATTTTAAAATTAGATATTTATAGAAATACCTATAGGTACTTGCAAAAATTGACGAAATTTTTGCACCAAAATTCACAAGAGTTCGTTTATTTAGACGTAACAAATAGGTACATATTAAAAACTACTGTGAGTAAAATGGTACTTCTTAAAGCATTTTCTCTGAAACTGTCATATTGAATCATATATTCAACCAGCGCAGCCCCAATGTGTGTATTTTAATATCTTATACCTACTTACACAGCCAGCGTTTGATTATTTTATGGTGATAAATGTTTCTGAATGTTTTTTTGTCGGTAAGCTGCATCATAGTGAAATCAGGGAAATAGGTATGTGTGAAATTACGAATATATCTATTTATAGAACAAAGAAAGTTACTTAGCACTGCGGAATTTTGTTAAATCATAATCTGATATTTTTTCGCTTAAAAAACATTATCTTTTCGATTTAAAAAATCACATATTTCAGAGATTCTCAAAATCTTCATATCTGAAAACTGTAAGTATCACATTCGTTCTGATTGTAGTCTAAACTAAAATGTTTTGATTTACAGCACGATATTTTGCAAAAATCGCATAAAGACAAATATAAAATTACATTCGTAAAAAGTTTGAAATTTTGGTGTATTGTGTTCTGAGTGCGGGATGAATTATTTAAGTAAATTAAAAACATAGGTACCTACTGAAATTCTAAAAATCATGTAAAACGCCAATATAAAGTTGGCGATTCAAAATGTGTTGTTTCATTGTCACTAGCACCATTCACCTATAGAACGGACAAAATTGCACTGAATTCAGCAGTTGTAAAACAAAATAAAAAACAGTTTTAAGATTCGCAGTTTTTTAACTACAACTGTGGGTCTTATATCCATCCGGTAATCAGACGTCTACATTCTTTTAAGCGATATTTCTGTGTGCTGCTTACTGAGTCAGTTGACGAAAAATAATAAAATGCTTCTGTTTTTGCGCGTTATAACTAACTAGATTTTTTATTACTATATTTAGCAAGTAAACTATACACGAAATTCACCTTTAGATATTTCGCTGACGTAACAACAACTGCAAGAGAGCTACTGTTCTTTATTTTATAGATTTCTAATTAAAAATAAATTTTGCTGAATGATCTCTTTATTTTCATTTAGTCTGCCAGTGTAAACATTTATTATTAATCAGTTCCTAAGAGCGTAATCATTTTTGGTTGGATAAAATTCTTAAATTAAGTGTGAAACTAATAAATTGTAGTGTTCGTTTGTTCGTCGAATTTAAGAAAATTGATTTTGAAACTGTTATAAAACAAATTAACTTATTTAAGAGACTTTATAAAACAACAAATTTGGTTTGCATTCTGTAATCTTTAAATCCTCTGAAATTTCTCAGATGAACTATAATAAAATGTGTACAAATTTTATATTTTAAAATAACGCGATACCTACATCTAAGAAAAAGAACAAAGAAAGCATGCAGGCTGAATATTTCAACTTCTATTGATCTTATGAAGATTAAGACATACATAGGAAAATTTGATTAACATTTTCCCATCTTCGTCATAATTCCAGAATTTCTGAATAACCGCTACAATAAGATAAAAGACACCTGTTCAGGTCGGCGACAAACGACGAGCAAAAGAAAACATGAAACTTTCATTTTCTCAATCTATATGACCCGATACAACATTTCTCTTAGTTATCACTTGGAAAGTTTTATAAAATTTTGCCTCTCTTTTAAGGTTGCTAAATTAACAAAAGTAAAAGTTGTGATAAATATAAAAATAAAATGACATTGCAGACGTTCAAAAGTTGACTATGTAAGATAGTATTGAAAATTACAAGTTTAAAAATATAGCTTGTCTAATTAGAATTACTGTTTACCTAGGTTTAGGTACCTATACTAAACGCGTGTGGTCCTCAATATCTCATTAATTATTAAATACAGAGAAAAAATCAAAGACCATCAGAGTTGGACTCTTCAAGGAATATTTATACTCCTTGTGTTCTGCTGTTAAGGCGTAACACACAACTTAGTTTTTTAAATGAAACACCCCTATATATTTACATATGTTGATTGACCTCTTCTTAGGGTAGACAACCACAGTTTTAGTTGTTCCAATTTTCTTAAAATTTTTTAGGAATGGAGGGATTCTGAAAAAATTCGCAGTTGGATTATATTTAAAATCTGTGTTATAAGATTTTGTGGAAAGATAAACAAAAGTACGCGTTTTGTTGTGGCATAATAAAATTAAATTTCCATATACCTAGGTACAGTTTGTTTACAAAAAAAGTGTTTAATTATTACAGTTTTGAAATATAGGTAGATATTTCAGTTTTTTCAAATGGAACATCTTGTATTTTATTATTGCATATTATTCTATTTTTTATTGCTTTTCTTTTTCTTAAGTAGGTATTTGCTATATAAAAAGTTGAGAGCTGCTGCGATTTTTTACTTTTTCTTTTTCTTAAGTAGGTATTTTCTATATAAAAAGTTGAGAGTTGGTGCGATTTTTTACTTTTTTTAAGAGACACATCGACTTATTAGACGAATGAGAACAAAAAATAGAGTAAGATACAGTAAGGTATATACAAGGTGTTCTGTTTGAAATATCGATATTTGAAAATTGTTGTAAAGTTTCAAAATTTGTTTATAAACAGTTCGTACCTACTGTAAAATTTGATTTTATTGCTACCACAACAAAGTGCGCACTTTATTTATCCTTCTACCAAATAGTGTAATACAGATTAACCCTGTTGCGAATTTTTTGTGAACCCTTTTGTTCAAAAAAATATTAAGAAAATTGTAGTAATGTGATAATGTATCATTGGAATTTTTAAAATAAACTGCAGTAATAAAACCTAGGAAGGGGCAAGCGAGAATATTCAAAAGTATATATAGGGTGTTCCGTCTTCAAAACAGACCACTTCGTAGAGTTAAAAATAATTTTAAACAATTGTCGTCAAAGAAAGAACCGTCCTTGACATTTTTCTATTTCTAATAATAAGTATGTAATGAAATATAAAGAACCGCGCCCTTAGTGATTCACTCTGTAGGTATATTTTCCAATATTTATGTTATTACCTTTAAAAATAACATTTCTCTGCAAGCAATTTTTAAATTTGATAAGAAAATTCAGTAATCATAATAATAAAATTTGAATATTATAGAATTAACGAAATCTTAATTCTAATTACGTAAATTTCAAAATAAGGAAAATTAAGAAACGTTAACCATTTTTAATTTTATGCTTGAATCTCGACTTTTTTTAAGAATTGCTCCTATAAGAAATTCTTCTTCCAATCTTTCATCCATAGGATGTGATGCAGAATTTACCGAATTGATTGTAGCGCCTCATTCACGTGAAATTTTTAAGAGCAGCAATCCCTAAAACATTTTTGTGACCACTTTAAAATTGCAAAAAGGGAATTTTGTGTTCAATAAATTTATACTTATTATCAAGTAGGTATGTATGTAATTATCGTCTTACACAGGTAGTAGTTTTAAATGTTCTTTAATGTACATGGAACTTTTATAAAATAAACTGATTGCATATATTTTCTTGAAAGGTACAAAAAAAAAACAAATAGATCACTTATTATACCTATATACTTACCTAATACACCATTAACCTAATTCAAAAGCCTATTTGTAATTTAAAAGCCTCTTTCCTCTTTGAAAAAAATATTACCGTTAATAAAACAATCAAAAAACAAAATAGGTATATAGGCGATAAACTACTTAGTTATGAGACTATTCTTAGAACGAATACAATTAATATGTACTATCGAAACAGAGAAAGTCACTATCAAGCCATATTTAATGGAAATTATTGCTTCCATCACTGATACCGTTAATAAATTACCCAAAAATACGAGAACTAATCAAAAGTAATAACTTAAAAGTTCCTAATAAATCCACAATTTATTTAAGAAATAATTTGTTCATCTATTACTTTCTGTAACGCACAGGCTTATCTTTTTGTTGTTACGAATAGTAATTTGCGTTCCATTTCACGCATACCTCCTCTAAGACGGCCTCTGGCCAATTTGGCCGAGGTTTCGACGAGGCTGTTTTTTTCGAACGGCGAAAAAACACCTCTAATTTTGTTGGCTCGCCCGAAAACAAGTTATAAAAAAAGAGATCCGTACGAAAATATTTGGGTTTGCGAATGGGCTAGAACACGGAATGTCTAAAATAGCTGAATTGATTTTAAGCTTGGGTTACTTATTTGCAAGTTTCGACTATATTTATTTGGTTTTATTTGGCTTTTACGTGTGTTTCTCGTAGTCGCCATTCTGTTGAATTTAGCCAGATGATGTCATTG